AATTGTTCACGAAGGTGACTGCCTCTGCATTTGACGGAAATATGTGTCCTCTGAGCGCAATTTTCAGATGAGGAAACAAAAAAATCGCTTGGACCTAGATCTGGTGAGTGAGGTGGATGGTCAAGCAGTGCAAACCGTAATACGTGGAGTTTCGCCATGGTAACCGCTGATGTGTGAGACAGGCGTTGCCTTGGTGGAACAGTATTTTCTTTTAGTGCCAAATTTTCCGCTCTTCCGCAAGTTCTACCTTCAGGTTGTCAAGTAATGATGTGAAGTAGAATTCTCCTGTAATGGCTTTTCCATTTTGAAGATAATAGGCTGAAATAAATCCACAACTATCCCAAAAACAGTTGTTATCTTTTTTCCAGCCGACAAAACTGTTTTTTTTCTTTTTTTGGAGTCGGTTCCGCCTTTGCAGCCCATTGTTTGGGCTGTATTTTTGTTTTGGGCGTGTATCAAAGTGGTGCATCAAAGTTTCATCTACAGTAATTAGTCGGCGTCAAAACTCAGATTTATGACGCCTAAACTGCGTCAACAGAGCGTTGAAAATATTCATTCGAACACATTATTGGTCTAACGTGAGCAAACACGGCACCCAACAGCTTTTTCGTACCTAAATTTTGATTTATTATGTGACAAACATGTTTTGTCGGCATGTTCAGAACCTCTGCTATCTCTCTCACTTTAATTCGGCGGTCTTCTAGCACTATTTGATGAACTTTGGCGATGTTTTCGTCGGTAGTTGCGGTTTTTGGACCTCCCTCAAGTTCATCGTCTCTCAAGCTCTTACTAACACGTTCAAATTCAGCTACCCAAAATTTACCCGTAGTAAATGATGGAGCAGACTCCCCATACACAGAACCCAACTCATCTTCGATTTCCGTAGGCGTTTTGCATTTCAGAAACAAATATTTAATGACAGCTCGAGTCGAGTCGACTAGCTTTTAATGAGTGATTTTTTTGCTGGTATCTTTTTGGCAACACTGTTTTTGACAGATCACGTGTGAATTGTGTCTTGTGTCATTGTCAAACTTGTTCAGTTTGGTGTATAATTTAACCATGAATCGACTTACGAATGAACAACGCTTGCAAGTTATTGAATTTTATTATCAAAATTCATGCTCGGTGAAGAAAGTGCATCGTGAACTTCTTCCAATTTTTGGGCAGTTTCGTCGGCCTACTGAGGGAGCTATTCGGAAACTTATGACTAAATTTCGAAACCAGTTTACATTATTGGACATTAAACCACCAACACGCATACGTAGAGTGAGGACCGAATAAAATATTGCGGCTTTATCCGCCAGTGTTCGTGATGACCGTGAAATATCGATTCGCCACCGTTCGCAGCAATTGGGCCTCTGTTACTCCACATATGGAAAATTTTGCGAAAGGATTTGGGTATAAAACTTTATAAGATACAGCTGGTGCAAGAATTGAAGCCACACGACCTCCCACAATGTCTAACATTTGGAGAATGGGTGCTGGCAAAGTTGGAGGAAGATTCACATTTTTATCGAGGCTCATTTCTAGTTGAATGGATACGTTAACAAGCAAAATTGCCGCATCTCTAGTGAAAACCAGCCACAAGCAATGCAAGAGCTACCGATGCATCCCGAAAAAGTCGCCGTTTGGTGTGTATTATGGGTCGGTGGCATTATCGGGCCGTACTTTTTCAAAGACGACAATGGCCGGAACGTTACTGTGAATGGCGAGCGCTACCGTGTGATGGTTGACGACTTTTTGTTGCCCAAAATGGAAGAATTGGACATGCCTGACATGTGGTTTCAACAAGACGGTGCCACATACCAAACGGCACACGAAACAATGGCCCAATTAAGAGCCGCCTTCGGTGAACAGTTTATCTCACGTTTGGAACCCGTCAATTGGCCGCCTAGATCGTGTGATTTAACGCCTCTGGATTATTTCTTGTGGGGTCATGTTAAGGCTCATGTCTACAGGGATACACCAGCAACGACTGACGCTCTGGAAGCCAAGATTGAAGCATTTATACGTGAAATATCGGTCTATATGTTAGAAAGAGTGTGCGAGAATTGGACCTTGCGCTTGGGCCGTCTAAAACGGATCCGCGGAAAGCATTTGCATGAAATCATCTTCAAACATCAAATTATATTGATCGTGCTATTGATTCCAATAAAGATTTCATCAATTTTTTCAAATTTTTTGTGTTGTATTGAAAATCAAATCTTATACCTCTTAAAGAATCACACTTCATTTACGGGTGCTGCTATCTTCATGTTGAGGTGGGAAACTTATCAAACCACCCTCGTAAAACGAAGGATAAAAATCTGTGAAATACGCCAAAAAAACGTCTCATCACCCTGTACAGACATCGGTCGCAGTTTCGATCGTTCCGATCTCCAAAACACTCGGAACGCGGATCCTCCTGGCGGAGTTCATCCCGCGATACTACGGCTACCAAGGTCGGGTCAAGGTCGCCGGGGACAGGGCGGCCGGGAGGCGGCACGCCAAGCCAGCAGCAGCCGATCTATCGATCACTCTCTATGACGGCGGCGGTCTTAGCCGCCGCCGATAGGTCGAAGCAACGACAAACGTGGTCGTCCTGTCATGACGATAGTTAACGAACCTAATGTTGTACATAATTCGGCGGATATCCTGTAAATTTACAGTTTTCTTGAGAGGACACTTTCACGTCGAGGATTTGAGAATTAAAATGAGGTTACTTCTTTATAAATTTTACCAATGACGACAAATAAGTGACGTAAAATGGGCCATGGGTCAAATTCCACCACTGACCAAGTGGTTCTGCTATATCCAATATTGAAGCAGGTTCAGTTTAATACACCTTTTACTTCAAATATCCCCATGAAAAAAGTCCAAAGGTATCAAATCTGGCGAGCGAGCTGGCCATTCTGTAGGACCTCTACGGCCAGCTCAACGACCGGGAAAAGTAGTACCCAAATAGTTTGTTACTTGTCTGGAGTAATGTAGTGGTGCTCCATCTTGTTGGAATACAGTATCCATATCGAATTCATTAGGATTCGCTCCGACGATTTCATTGATGAGAGGGTCAACAACAGTTTCCAGCATATTCAAATACAGTTCCCCTGTTAAATTTTGATCAATAAACAGAGGTCCTGCAACATGGTTTCCCAATATTCCTGCCCATTCGTCACTAAAACAAATATTGTGGAGACAGGTAGGATGCCTTGCAATGGTTTCTGTCATGATTTCGCATAATTCTGTTCTTCGATCATGCTCATCTTCAATTAATTGGTGTATCAATTACCAATTAAGGGCTTAACGCTGGAGCCGACGGATATTCTGATCAGCTTCGATGTGGTGACCTTGTTTACAATTGTCCCACTGGAAGACTCTCTGAGGGGGTTAGCCCACGTGTTCCCGAATGACATCGTCGAACTCTTTAGAGCATGTCTCACAGGAAGTTACTTTCAATGTGGGGGAAACTTCTATGAGCAACAAGATGGCTTTGCGATGGGGAGTCCATTTAGCACAGGGATAGCAAATTATTTCATGGAACGGTTTGGAAGAAAAGCGATAGACACTTTTGAATTGAAGCCGACCTTGTGACTACGTTACGTGGATGACAGCTTCGTCTTCTGAACCATTTCGTGAACCACTTGAACGCCCAACACCCAAGCATAAAATTCACCATGGAGATTGAGCAGGACCAACGGATAGCTTTCCTAAATGTACCAGTAGAACGATGTGGTACGAGACTGATTCACAAAGTATATCGGAAACCCACACACATGGATAGATACTTGCACGAGTACAGGTACAAGTGCAGGTACAAATACAACTAATTACCTGACAAGGAAGCCAAAAAGTTTGTCATCGGACAGCAAGCCAAAATGGTTGAACCTCTGAAGAAGTTAGCCAGCGAAACGTCAGGAAGAAATTCCAAAAATCCACGGCTTTCAAACACCGTAAATAAAAATTGCTTCTTCCAATGGACGAGAATTGACCATTTTAGAGATTGTTGACGTGGTACCTTTCTATTAGTGGAACCGAAAACTAAATGAGAATATTCTAACTGAACAATGATATTCATTGTCGTTTTCATAAACAAAAAATAACTCAACAAACCTTATCGGGTTGTTGGAATTGCCATATGGCAGATAAAAAGGAATATTTCTAGAAATATCGATATTAATGTGTTTGTCTTCAGGAAATTATTAAATATTCCGCCATTTTGTAGCAGGTAAAGATATCGACTTCATATTCTAGGGTTGTGAAGTATTCGTCAGGAGCTTCAAAATGATGTGTCACACCCCCCTTAACAATTTTTCCGCCCAGTCGCCATCTTGAAATTTTCATCTGTCAATTTTACTACTTCAATTTTACGTTCAGAAATAAAAGGGGGGGATATTTAAGAAATGCACTGTATATTTATACCCCACAGGAGTTAAAACGTAACTGACCATTCCGATACTGTAAAAATAAGTCCTGCCAGCCGATTGCAGTTAAATCTATTTGGCCAGCGTTAAGAAGTCTTGTTTATTTTACCCAATAGAAGAAAATGTGCGTGGTTACCATCCTTCGATCACGCAACTATCTTTATTTCGGTAGCTTTTTTTGTTGGATTGATACAGTTTAGTTAATACAAATCCACTTACCGATCTCGTGCTCTGGCAGATTCGGCTTCCTCGAAGGCGACCCCCTCTGCGGGGGAGGCGGCTGCTTGAGGATGGCGAGCGGCACGAGGCCTTCTGGTACGACGGAGGTGTCGCCGTGGTCGCTGCCTCTCGTCGGCATCCGCACCAGACAAAAGTCCGGCCTCGAAGAGCACACCTCCACCACCTCGACCTGCTGGCCCTTGGACACGCTCAATTCGGAAGAATTGGTCGCCGTGAAGTCGTTCAACACCCACGTCATCTCCAACACGCCGGCCTGCAACAGAAAACGAAGATGATTAAAATTTGCCGAAAACCCCGAAAAAACCTTTCACACATTAAACATCAGGTTGTCAAAGGTACCTTGATTCAACACAAACACACACAAGAAAATAAGAAATATATTAACCAATCCAGACTGGCTGGGCTGCCTCCTCAGCCTGGCCTGATAAGAACTAGGCGTGTCGATAGTATGCTGCCTCATGAGTCCAGGATGGGCTTTTGAAACGGATCCTTGCCTAAACCACGGCAGCGAAATCTTCCTCTTCGACTTCTGGCTTTTGGGAACCACTCCCGATGAGCTTTCCGGATTTGCCATCGTGGCAAGCGACCAAAAACGTTAACGCAGTCAAAGACGGTAACGGCGTCAAAACATTAACGGAGTCAATGTCAAAAACATTACAGGAGTCAACACGTTAACGGTGTCAAGACGTTAACGGAGTCAAGACGTTAACGGAGTCAAGACGTTAACGGTGTCAAGACGTTAACGGAGTCAAGACGTTAACGGAGTCAGTCAAGACGTTAACGGAGTCAAGACGTTAACGAAGTTAAAGACGTTAACGGAGTGAAGTCATTAATTAATTCAAAGATGTTAACGGAGTCAAAGTGTTGACAGAGTCGAAACTAAACACTGGAGTCAAGTAGTCAATAAAATGAATAATATTTACGGTCTGGGATACTGAGAGAAAACATAGGGAGTTGATTCACGAAATCGTACTGCAATAGAAGTCAAATTCGTAACGCAATTCGGAACAACGACAAAGTAGTCGTTTGAGTCTAATAACGGGGTCAAGTGTTTAGTTAATTTAAAGTTAATGGAAGGTTATCGGTCTCAAAAAGTCGACAGTCAAATACGTTAACGAATCCAGGAACAAGGTCGAAGCGTAACGGAGTCAAAGGAGTCGGCGAATTTGATAAGTCGTTTTGTAGGATATCGACGGATTGATGCTCACTTATACTATTAGGTTTAAATTTAAAGCACCGTTTCTTTAGCGGCTAACTAACTTTTTGTTACTCATAAGCTATTTTACCCGTAGTCAAGTGCACAAACTTACGTGTATACTTAAAATTAGTGATATATCAAGCACCAACGTGTTAATTTTTCGGCAAGCCTAGTAAACAAAGAAGATAATGACAAATTAGACACGATCAATATTTCGACAAAGCAGTGACCTTTGACACACATTCAACACCGGAACTGATGGTGAAAGAGGAATACGGGAAGAAATTTTCGAGGATTCGAATATTCATAAAACGAACGACTGGATCAATAAAGCCAACAGTCGTTGTTATCTCAAAACGTTCAATAAGATTAGATAATGAGGAAATCTTCATTGGAAATGAAAGATACCCATATCTGGACAATCTATCGATCAAAATGTTCAGTATCGAAAGAAAAACGTACCTGCCATGGCTACAGATATTTATTGAATTTGCGAGGGTTGTTAAAAAAGTATTAATTGCGACCCAGAAGGAAAATCTGTTTGATAGAAATGTTTCTTCTATTCCCAGCATGGATAAAATGTTAGAGCAACGTTGTTAGCGTTAAACATAGGAATAACAAATGAATTTCACGATTAAATTCGAGGAAAATACATAATGTGGAAAGAAATGGAACAGAAAAGTGACTGACATGTTCAGAATAGTGCTAGAGCGACTAGTAGGTACAATTGGAGGGCTTCGAAATGGAGATTTTGGATTTATAAGGGTGAAATTTTGACCATTATCGGAAATTTAAGTTAATATTTTCTCAAAGTGGTGCTTCCATTATTATGGAAGTGACCTCTGACTTTATACCTCCAACTGTCAACTACGAACTGCCTAATAAAGTACTATTCCCGAGCAGAGAGGACTGGATCCTCCTGGAGAAGGAAATATCAAGAGCAGATAGTTGTTGGTTCACAGATGGATCAAAAACGCCTTCCAGTTCTGGTGCAGGTGTTTTTAGTCGCAGACCCAGGACAGAGACATCTACCTGCCCAGGAACTTATGGTTCTGTATTTCAAGCGGAAATTTACGCTATTGAATGGTGTGCGGAGAGATTGGATAAATCCAACCTTGCACACAAGTCAATAAAAATATTCTCGGACAGTCAAGCGGCGTTGGTAGCTCTTGGCTCCTTTCGAGCAACGTCTAAATTGGTAGCAAATTGCCAAAAATGACACTCCTTGATAGGAAGACTTAACAGATTGTCTCTGGTCTGGATTCCTAGCCATTTTGGACTGGAAGGCAACGAAGCTGCTGACTCCCTTGCAAAGGAGGGTACTGCAAGCAGCTTTATCGGTCCAGAACCTGTCATTGGCATCGCTTTGGGCTTTGTCAAACGTAGATTAAACACCTGGATGGCAAGAAGATTTATGGACTTCTGGCAGAATCTTCCAGGATTGGCTAAGGCGTTTATTTACCCTTCGAAGCTTGATACCAAACAGATGTTGGACTACAGTAGGGATGAACTACGATGTCTAACAGACCTTCTTGCAGGTCATTGTCATTTGAATCATCATATGCAGAGACTTGGATTGTCGGAAGACAGTGTGTGTCGCCTCTGTTGGGAAAATGATGAAACAGCAGAGCATACACTTTGTGCCTGCCCCGCTGGGGACGGAATTAGGTTCTTAGAGTTTGGCAGAGCAGTACGCTTACCATCTGACCTGAAACACCACTCACCATACAAACTAATCGGATTCGTTAAGAAGCTGGGTTTGTTTGGCCGAGTGTGAATAGGTGTGAGCCATAATAAACCCTTGCGGGTTGCGGTGGAGGGTCGAATAGACCCACTCACTTTAGACCTAACCTAACCTAACCATAGTGATAAAAATCAGTATATAGCTGCTGTTCTCGAGGATTGGAAATACTTTGAAGGAGACAAAATATAAATCGATTAATAAATGAATATTTTTTGGGAAAAATGAAAATTACCTCAATTTTTTTTAATAGACCAGGTATAAAGTACGGATAGTAGGTTTTTACCTGAGGTTTTAGCTAGAGAAGGATTAGGTCGAATTAGGAACTTACATGTCAAAGGTAACTACATTTATGAAACAAATTCAAGGCCATCTTCAGACCTGTTGCAATTCTCCCAGACTGACCACTCTTGAAAAGCAGAACAATGGGGAATAAAAAAAAAGGTTATTTATTCGGTCCTAGAAAAAGGTAACAACCAAGTGGTCATTCTGGTGTACGAGATATCAGGTTATGGTAAGAATCGGATGTTCAGCTGATCAATTTCGATGTAGAGGAGAAAATCATCAGTTTAATGGAAATAGTCCGGGAGTAGGATTTTCACAATTTCAATACAAGCAGGTACAAACAAAACATTGAAAAGTAGGTTAGGAAACATTCCAGAAATCCTAAAAGGAAAACATTTCCTCCGGGAGTTCTGAGTGGTTGCGGCTTTGGTCATTGAGGCTAATCAGCTTTATGTCTAAGGCTAATTCCACACAAATTGGTCCTTCTCATTCCTCAGCACGAGATCGTGATAATAGAAAACCCTGGTTACATGAGCCTCGTGACAGGTCTAGTGTCTGGTCATTTCTATCATGAGACTACGATTTTTTTAAGGATAAAACACAAGCACTACAGGAAAATCCTCAAGGCGGAGAACAATACTCCAAAGAAGGTTTGATCTGAGCATTATAAAGCATCAAAATTTGCTAAGGTGTATACAGTATTCTTGTTCGGAACAGTGTTTCGAACTTTTGAGAAGCAGCCTTTGCAATTCCAGCGACATGATTGTGCCAAGACATATTGGCGTCCATTGCAACCCCCAACAAACTCATTGAAGCAGAAATCCAAACGGAATGACTAGACACGTGTGCTGTCATTGGATTCTTGTTTTTTCCAATAAGTCGTCGATATACAATAAAAAAAGGGTTGGAGACAATATGGATCCCTGGGGAACACCAGCGTCGATAGTAAAAGTATTCTTAAGACATCCATCGACGGCCACTTGCAGGGAACGTTCTTACAGGAAGCTGTAGACCAATACTCAAAAATGATCCGATTAGCCATAGCATAGAAGCTTGGCCAGTAAATCCTCAAGCCACACACGGTGAAATGCCTTAGAAAAATCAAGCGCAACACAATGGTAGACCAAGATGTTGAACACAGGAACCTAAAGGAGGTGATCAAATGCCTCTCGGATGCCTCGGATTAGCATAAACAAGTATGTCCAAAGTAGCTCACAGAAAAGCATCGGATTACCAGATTTTAGTCAGCTGATGAGTCTCCTCAACATGAAGAAGAAGATCCCATGCACTGGCTTACTCTTACGTCTTGTTTCTCATGGTTAGAGATCATATTGAGGACAAAATCCAACACCGCATGCTCCATCCAGCACCATTCTGTAGACACTCAAAGATCCACAGCTCCTTTGTTGTAAGGGAAAGTACAAGTAGACTGGACGATTTGGGATGCAAACTCCTATGGTTCCTATGTTCCATGTTCCTATGTTACAAACAAGAAAAGTAACGAAGCAAAATGTTTTCCCCAACAGTTCCGCCAACCAGATCTGTTGGAGTTAGTGCTAAAACATGGTGTGGATCAAGTTATTCATAGGGATGGACCAAAAGTCAAAAGGTGACCTATCTCTGAGCTGAATATTTTCCTTTTGAAACGAACCATTTCTCATTTTGAGAAGCCTCCAAGCCAAATTCTAGCTTTTGATAATGCAAGTGAATCTCTGTAGAATTTTTGAAACCTCAGAGCTCTGTTGTTTTCCAATATCCTTCGTCATACAACCACTCATTTTTTTGACCTTCCCTCTACTGTTGAGGAAGAAATATACCTAGCATATAAGAAAAAAAGTCGCACCCCGGGAAATTTTCACGATTTATGACCTGACCTTGAAACTGAAGGTCAAATTGGAAAATTTACAAATCTCTGATAGTTTTTCCGTATTGAACATCATTTCAGCTAGATTATGCTGTCAGCCCTAGATCAATATCTATTTTGCATCAAGCGACAATCTTTCAAAATTCAAAATCTTAAAATGCATAA